GGTTTATGGGTTTGGGGGAAAGCATTGTTGTGTCATGTTGGTTTGTCGATCGGAGGTTGATAGACCTCCTATCCTGACACGTCGATTAGCGAATTGGCCGTTTCCGGTTCGCGAGAGGGTCGCGCGGCCGTCATTTTGCGGGTCCAGGTCCGTCGGTTTCGGTCCTAGGCCGTTTTCACTAAAGGGTAGTTTGCTAAAGAGAGGTTTGTCCACCGCCGAGTCGATTCGGCATAATGTCTAACTGCATGGCGATCGTTTTCTTATTCGTTGTTTTGCCGATCGGCGCGGGCCCCCCCCCCCTCCCTCCCCCCCACCCCCTGGAGTAGATCTTGGCTGTTTCTGATGCCTGGTTCGAGCAGGTGGAGTCTCCCCCCAAAGGACGCACTGTCGCAAACAGTCGCACTAAGCAGAGGTCTGGAGCCAGACCCCACCCCCTCCCCCCCTCCCCCTTCCGCCCAGTGTCGAAACGCCGAATAAGAAAGCGCTCACATGCGGCAAGTCCCGCCGCTGGGCCAGCGCAGCATTCTGGGTGGCGACCATTTGGTAGGGGGCACGGGAGGCCGTCACGTGTGACACCTCGGGCTTCTCGAAGGGTTTGGGGGTTTGCTGGGTGCCGCTGGGGGGGCGTTCTGGGGCCGATTGGCAGCGTTTTGGGGGCGCTTCGGAGGCTCTTGGGGGCCCCCTGGGCCGTCTGAGGGCGCTCTTCTGGGCTCTTTCGGAGCCTGCCCTGAGGGTGCGTTCTGGGTCATCTTGGGGACCTTGAGGGCCGTCCGAGGGCTCCCTTGCGCCGACTTGGGGTCCTCTTGGATCGATGTGGGGCATCTTGGAACCCTCTTGGGCCGTCCTGGGGCCTTGGGCCCTCAGGCTACATGGGCCATCTCGGCACCCCCTTTGAAGCATCCTTCTGTTCATATTGGAGCCCTTTCGAGACCATCTTGAAAGCATCTGTGGGCAATTGTCAACCCTTCTGAGCAGAGATTTAGTATCTTAGAGCCCTCTGGGGAGGATCCTTTCCATTTCATTGGGGGTCGTTGCCTTGGAAATGACGATCCATGGTGCGATGTTCAACGGACCGTGGCCCCAGAAACGATCCCCAATTGAATTTGAGTGTCACTCTGCTTCCAGGAGTAAGAAGGACGTTCAGGAGCAGCGGGAGGGAGGAGGAGGGAGGAGGATCTGGGATGAGGATGCATCGTTCCACGGCTCTCTCGGAGCGCTCCAGACCCGCGGGGTTGGCAGCGATTCCCGCTTTTCCGAATTCGATATTGTCGTCATCTCGCCTTCGTCGCAGAGGAGGACGAGGAGGAGGAGGAGGAGGAGGAGGAGGAGGAGGAGAAAGAGAAGGAGGCGCCCCCCTCCCCCGCCAGGCGCAGCAGCGGGGCGAGAACAGGGCAGACCCATACTTGGGCGTTCTGAGTCCAGCGCTGTTGGACTGCGAGGATCAGCAGCTACCTCTCCTGTCTGATTACGCGCACGCTTCATGCGCGCATGTGCATCCTTCTCTCGCTCGCTTGACGTGAGAGAGGGCAGGCCTTCTCAGAAGGCGGCGGGGCTTCTCGGAAGCCTTCTGCCCTTCTGAGAAGCACTCTGGGGCGTCGGGGACGGCTCAGAAACCGTCTCAGAAGGCCAGACGCTTCCAGAGCCTTCTGAGGAGGCCCGCCGCCTCTGCGTTCCCCCTTGGGCGCGCCGCCGATTATGTGCGTATCTGTGCTGTGTTGTGTTGTGCGTCTGCGTCTGCGTGCGTCAGGGTGTGGGTGTGTGTGTGTGTGTCTGTGTGTGTGTCTCTGTGTGTGTGTGTGTCTGTGTGTGTGTCTCTGTGTGTGTGTGTCTGTGTGTGTGCGTGTGTGTGTGAGTGTATGTATATGTGTCTGTGTGTGCGCATGTGTGTGTGTGCGTGTGTGTGTGTGTGATTCGTGTGTGTGGTTTGTGTGTGCGTGTGCTGTGTGTGTGCGTGTGCGTGTGCGGGTGCGGGTGCGGGTGTGTGTGTGTGTACGGGTGCGGGTGCGGGTGCGTGTGCGGCTGCGGCTGCGGCTGCGGCTGCGGCTGCGTGTGCGCGTGTGCGCGTGTGCGCGTGTGCGCGTGTGCGCGTGTGCGCGTGTGCGCGTGTGCGCGTGTGTGTGTGCGCGCGCAATCTGCCGCAGCAGCCAGGCCAGGGGGCCCCTGGAGCCGCCAGCGACATCCAGAACTCCGGCTCTCGATTCTCGATCCCCCCCTTGTCCCGGCCGTTGCGCGGCGCGCGAGCGGGCTCGCGCAGCCTCCCACCCCCCTCGGCGGGCAGGATTGCTGCGTGTATGGGTACGTCTCGGCCGCCCGCGTCAAGGCCGCCCGCGCGTCCCGGCACTCGGTCTTGGCCAGAAGCGCCCGAGACGACGGACCTCCAGCGTCGGGAAGCCCCAAACATGTATTCGTCGTCGAGGGGCGATCTGATCCGCGTGTTCGGCCTCCAGAGGCCCGTTTCGGGTCCCGGGACCGCCAGAGAGCATCCCAGAATGGATAAGAGGCTTCGGGGATGGGGTCAAGAAGCCCTGGGGCCCACCTCACGAACGAATCGTGGCGTCGGATGTGTGGGAGGACGGGGGAGGTTCAGGCAGAGCTGGGATGAGGATGCGTCGTGTAACAGCGCTCTGGAGCGGCGGGTTCTCCGAGACTCCCGCTGTCTCTGTACCCGATGTTGTCGTTATCTCGTCTTTGTCTGAGAGGGGCAGCAGGAGGAGCAGCAGGAGGAGAAGGGGGAAGAGCAGGAGGAGGAGCAGGAGGTGGAGGTGGAGGAGGAGGTAGGTGCAGAGGGCCTGGGACACGGAGTAGGGAGAAAGAGGGAAGGGGAGGGCGGCGGAGGGGGAGGGGGAGGGGGATAGGGTGGCGAAGGAGGAAGGCGGAGACATCAGCTTGCTCGTCGTTGTATCCCACCTCCGCGCAACCATTTCTCTTTACGCTGGTGGTGGTGGCGAGCAGCAGCCTCGTTGACGGTGCTGCAGCGTGTGTGATGACCCCTCGACGCGGGCGGGATCGCCCTGTGGGAGGAGGCGGCCGCCGATACGGTCGACCCCAGCCCAGCGACCGGGCAGTCGGGGCAGGAGAGGTCCACGGGGCCGCGGGGGCGCCCGCACGGGCGCAGGCAGCCCCCCCCCCCGAAGCACGTCCCAGCGCCAGAGGCCGCGGACCCGGCGTGCGCCCGCGGTCCCACCTTCGACGAGACAGGGCGGCATGGCAAGGCAAGGCAAGACAAGTCGAGGGAGGCCTCCAGGATGACGCCTGTTCCATGCCTGCTGCAGCGTGCCTCCCGCATGTGGCCCCAAAATCACTCTGTGGCGGCCCGGGGGCCTCCCAGGGATCACGACGAGAGTCCACAAGCAAGCAATGCTTAGAGATTGGATTGAGGTTGCCTCGTCGCCTTCTCGGCTTCCGGAGGGCCTCTGAGGCCTGCCGATGGCCCGGAGATGCTTAGCGGGACCCGGAAGGTGCCCAGACGGTCCTCAAGAGTGTCCCAAGAGTCCCCAGGTGTACCCCGTCCCCAGCAAAATCCTCGAATGCTAACCCTGCCCAACAACCATTGTCATACACGCCCCCGAACGACCCCAGGAGGGCCCCAAATGTTCCAAAAGGCCCCAGCATGGCCCCAAGAGCATCCCAAAAGAGCTTAAAAAGGAACCGAAGAGGCCCCCAAAAAAGGCTCAAAGCCGAGGCTCCGCCCAACAAGGATTTCCATGCGTGGCCCGTCCTTCTCTCCGAGGTTGGCCAGGGGCAGTCGCAACACAAAATTGCCAACCACCTCCAGCCCGCAGGCGGGGGTGGGGAGTGTTCGGCGTGGGGCAGGGGACGCCGCAGATCCTGCCCCGAAGGGGCCGAGAGGCCTGGTCTGGCAGAGCAGATCCGCGAAGCCGTCTGCGCCCAGAGGGCTCCCGAGAGCCCTGTGGGCATCTCTTGGCCTCCCGACGGGCGGGCTGGCTCCCGAGAGCTCTCGGCCGTGCCCCTTGCGAACGCCCCCCTCCCTCCCAGCGGCGGCCCGCGTCGGCGCCCCGTCGCGCTCCGGCCTGGGTGCGCGGGCGGTGCCTGGGAGGCAGGAGGGCTGGACCTGAACGCCGTTTCGCTGGACTCCGGCTGAGTTTTGCCTTTCGTCTCGGCAGGGAGGTGCAGGAAAGCGGGTAGAGCGAGGCGAAAAGCGGAACGAAAACGAAGCGAAAAACAAGGTTGAGGTCCAGCCCTGGGGGCGGCGAGTGCGGAGCCACGGAGGCGCCGGCAGCGGCGGCCACGGCGGCGGCGGCGGCGGCATGCAGAGCCACGGCGGCGGCCGCAGCGTTTCTTCCCCTGCGGCGGCGGACGCGGCGGCGCCCCCGTTGAGGTCCTGGTGGGCGTGCGCGGGGCCGGGAGGCGGCGCGGGGCCCACGGCTCTCTCGGCGGGGCGGTGGGCCCCCGCGCGACGGACGAGGCGCAGCGCGGGAGACGCACAGCACGGAGTACGGTGGGTGTAAGTCGGGCCTGTCCCTCTCCAGGAGGGATCTGACAAAATAGTTAGAAAATGATATGGGGACGATCTGTTTGCACATGTTTTGGTTACTTTGGAATATGTTTTGACTATTCTTTGTTTTTCGCCCAAAATCCACCTGTAGGGGGACATGCCCGACCTAAGACTGGCAGCGACCTCGCCGCTGGCGTTCAGCGTTGAACGCCGCTGGCGACCCAGAATCGGTCGATGTTGCAAGATCTGACATTTCGGATACGGCCGATCGTTTGAGGTTGAGCGATCCCCGCGGTGTCAGGAACCAACGCCGAAGTCGGCACCACACGAATCTGCCGTAACGCATTGCACCCGAGGACGGGTGGAAGGTACATGCCCCATCCACCATTCCCCTTCGTAGTTGCTCCTGCCTGGGGCTCAAGGATTCCATCCGCTCTACGCGAGACGTCCCCGTCGGGGAGCGGCGTCATTCGGAGCCCTGGGGGTCCCGCCAGCCCTCTCAGTTCTGGAAGTGGTTTGGGCAAGCGTCTTGTCATGGCATGGAGCACGTTCCTATGCACGTGTGGTCCAGATGCTTCATACTTGTATTGATTCAAGCCGTGTTGGCCCAAGTTTTGTCGAGTGGTGGATAAACACTGCACTCGTATCAATTAGCCAGCGCTGGTAGTGCGATGGCTCCAGGAAAGCACAGACCTAGCATTGCCACGGGGGTGCTCATGTTGCTGGATCTCTACACGAGTGCACTGGACCCTGAGGATGAGAGTTTGTTGTCACAATTGGAAGCAGAGGCCCAAGGGCGTGATCCATCTCTTTCTGATACTTGTTGGAGTGGTGGGCGATCGTTCATGGTGTGTTGCATGTTGGATGGAACTGGGAAACTTGTTCATAGCGATTGTTGGAGCGACATGCAGGCGCCCAGTCCTGAAGAATGTTGTATGTCAGTACTCCGTGCTTTCGTAAATGGTACATTCCAGAACCTATTTGATCAAAAGAGGTATTCACTTACTGCCACCCTCTCGCTGCGATTAAGCCAGCGCTATCTGCCAACGGAAAGGGACGATACTTCTTGGTACCTAGCTAGGCTTGAAGGTGCATTCCTTGCGGGCGCCCATTTGCACCATGTCGCGCTGGAGAACGAGGCATTTGCCATGATGAACTGGAAGGAGTTGGCGCAAAGGCATCAATGGCCTTCGGCCCAGGCCGCCACCGTGCCCAGGTCGTGGGCCAGAGGCTCGAGGGTCTTTGGGGGTACGTGAGCCTATTGGGGGACTCTTCGGACGCCCTTCGAATTCGCCTCTGTGAGCACCTCTTGAGGCTGTCTTGGAGGCGTGGTGGGCCCCTCTTGGGGCCGTTTTGGGGCGACCTTCAGCTCGAACAAGCGAGAGCGCTGAAACCATTCAAGAAATCAATGGTATCATGCGAGCTTGGTGTCTTGGACCAGTCCCCAGGGCCTCCAAGACGACCCAAACTTTCCGAGAGGAGAGGCCCCAAGCGAGCCCTCGGGAGCAATTTCGGGCATGCTGGCATCTTAGACTCCCAATCACGTTTCCGAGGCTTGGAAAAGTCATGCGATGAATTCTGGAAGCGCCCGTGAGCCCCGTGAGCGAGTTTGGGGGGGGGTCTTTGAAAGCACCCTCTCAGAGCGTTTACAATACCCACCAGCACTGAAGACCGACTTGAGGACACTCCACTCAGTGTCTGAGGCACGATGGCGGATTTCGGCGTCGCGCCGTCTGATGATGACCTTGGGGAAGCTTTAAAAAAGAACAATTGGAAGCTAATGTCGGCTTGGGGTCTCGCTGTACTTGATCATTTACAAGACGCAGACGGACCGAATGATGTGCCCACGGCAGATACAGGTAACCGCGATAGGGACGGATTGCTTCAGACCTTGAGCACAATTCAAAGGCCAGGGATGTCATGCACAGCGCACGAGTTGATGAGCACGTGGAGCCCTCGATTGTTGCGGTATTTTGAAGAGTACGCGGAGCAGCCTGCGTACAGCGCCTTCACGCCGTCGCTACGGCGGCATGGCTCCTTCGACAATTTTGAAGTCTTGGGACAGGCGCACGAAGTAAACCCCAGTCTTGTGATGCTGCTGCATGATACAGTGGAGCCCTCCGCAGGAACACCATGGCGGGCCGAGGTTGAACGGCAAGGCCCAGGGGGTCCCATTCTCTCTCAGGCGTACGTTTTTTCAGTGTTCGTCCTCGCAAATATGTACAGCGATATGATGAAGAGCGCGTGGGAGTTTGGTAGCACTGATCTTGAAGTCTTTGAGGTTGGAGGCGGGTCTGGTGGTCTCGCGTGGCTTGCTGCACACCTTTCTGCTTTCTCCCCAGACCATCCAGAGCTCGGCTTCCGCACGTGGACAATCTTTGACATCCCCCATGTCGCGGCTCTGCAAATGTGGTATTTGAATAAGACGTTGCCAGTGTCTTGTACCCTTGAGCGTATCTGCGGTGCTGGGCTTTCTGCTGGCTCCAGCACCGGTGCCGCGTTGGAACTCTCCCCTCCACCTGCGGGCGGGGGTCTCGTGCGCCTCGTGGACACCAGTGCGCGCGAGTTCTGGTTATACGGGCAACGGATGTATGACCGCAGCGATCCAGCGCGTTCGGCCAGGCGACGTGTGCGTGTCTTGGTTGCGAGTTGGAGTTGGAGCGAAACTGATGCCAGCGAGTTTCTCTGGTACGCGAACCACGTGCTAAGCCTGTGCGATTTTGCAATCTACACATACAGCACTTGGTGGGATCAGAACTCCACGACTCGATGGAAGCTAGACGTCATCACGGAGCAGATGGAGCCCATGTTGGGAATCGTGATACAGAACGGAAATGAAATCACAAAGTTGTTCCGAAGGAGAGAGTGATATGGCTTATGTGCCTCTGATGCGTGAGCAGGTGCGTGAAGTAGTTATTGGGGGACGTACCAATACCACCACTACGACCAGTGTCGTTGCAATCACCATAAAACCAACTGATTGTGTTTACATTACGTGCCCTCATGCTAGTATGAGTTGTGCGCGTCGTGCGCGTGTGATGCAGGGCGGTGTCGCCGAGCAACCGCGTGCCAGATTAAAAGCGTGCTGCGGGCGCAGCATTTGACGATCGCATTTTCAATCAGGAGCGTGTTTTCAGGCGATCCCAGGTGAAGCCCAACGTTTGCCCAAGACGGGCTGGAAATGCGTGAAGATTAGTTTGAGATATGTTTACGATGCCCCACGGCATCACAAAACAGCTACAGGACGTTCAAAGAAAGAGCTCTGTCTCTGGTCGTTTGTAGGGTCCCCCTCGGGTTCGACCGGGGAGGGGGGGGTCCCTAAAATGGTTCCCGGCTCCGAACCCCCGGGGAGGGCCCTTCGCCAGAGAGGGGGCACCCCCCCAACAACCGGGAGGGTATTCCCCCCCCCCGGGGTGGGGGACCAAGAAAGGGGGGAAGGTATTGGGACCAATCCCGGCTGAATCGGTACCTATCCTGGTTGAGAATATTCTTAAGTAGTACGTTTTAAGAAATATTCGCAATATTGTTCCAAGAAGTAGCCAGAAGATTTATCAAGTAGTATGTTTTCAGGAGTGTTCAGGAGACAGATTATGCAAAAAATCCTCTGGAAGTATTTGTGGGTTCGTTGTTGGATTGGGTTGGTCGGGTTCGAGTTGGGTTGCCCTCGGGGGAGGCCCAGATCGATTCAATTGGGCTCGAGCTTTCTCTCAGACGCATTGCAAACCAGCCAGCTGTTTGCGGCAAACCCCGCCACCGTGGCAGCGCAGCGGCGCAGCAGTCAGTAGCTGCGCCATCGCGCGGCATGACACTTGCGCCTACCAGATGCACAATGCGATCCTGCACTTCGAGGCGGCCTGCATGGGGGGGCACTTCCCTGCGCGACGCGGCAGAGGAACACGGGATCGTGCGCAAGCGCTCGAGGCGGGGCGACGTCAGGGCCGACTTCCTCGTGGATATCGCCGCCGCCTGTTCGGGCGGCCACGCGCACTCGAGTGCTGCGAGCGCCGCGCTGACCATCTCGCCCCGCTTTGCGATGCCATGGCGGCCCCTGCCTATGCCCGTTGGCGCACCAGCAGCGTGGAACTTGAGGACGCGGACTTGCGGGCTGCGATGCGCGCCGATAGAACTCGTGGTCTGCTGGGGGGGAGTTGTGCCTGGCAGCCCGTCTCAGACTCGCTACGTACTTGCATGAGAATGGGTGAACGCCAAGTAGTACATCCCCAGGACGAAAGTTTTTTCCTCTTGGGCCCAGAGCGAAGGTTTGAAGTCTTAAGCAGACGCGCGTGAGATACCCGCCGTCGGATCCAACGAAGTTCGCGCGGATCCGATGTTGGTTTTGGTGTGTGTTTCGGTGGATCCGATTTCTGTCCGCGCGGATCCGATTTCGGATTTGCTGGATCCGTGTTCGGTCTTATTTTTCACGGCGGATCCGATTTCTACCCTGTTTAAAATTTATATTATAAAATTTAAACAGGGAACCGGAAGAAATCGGATCCGCGGACCCCGCAAACCGCCCGTGTTAAGATTCTACGGGGGATGGGGGGTTCGGTAATTAACTTTCCACGATGGGCGCTGCGTCGTCTCGCGTACTCCCATCAGCTCCCCGCGCGAGCGGGCCCCATTCAAAATGAATACATACATCCCAGTTGCCCCGGTCGCTGCAAAGAGCTCGTCTGGTCGCCATCCGTTCCGGCGCCGACGTTGTCTCGCGAACTCCTCATGGCCATTTTCACCTCAAGAGGAAAATCTTTCGTCCTACGTAAGTGCGTTTCGGCCCTGCATCTCCTGACCCAACGGGCGTTTTTTGTTTGTGAGGACGTCTCGAGCAGGAACTCCTGATTGCACGTTGCGGGGACTTTGTGGTGAGGTGTGGCGCGTGGACCACGTGGCAACCAACATGTCCGAAGGCCAAAACGCTCATCCCCAGGACGAAAGTTTTTCCTCTTGGGCCCAGAGCGAAGGTTTGAAGTCTTAAGCAGACGCGCGTGAGATAACCGCCGTCGGATCCAATGAAGTTCGCGCGGATCCGATGTTGGTTTTGGTGTGTGTTTCGGTGGATCCGATTTCTGTCCGCGCGGATCCGATTTCGGATTTGCTGGATCCGTGTTCGGTCTTATTTTTCACGGCGGATCCGATTTCTACCCTGTTTAAAATTTATATTATGATTTAAACAGGGAACCGGAAGAAATCGGATCCGCGGACCCCGCAAACCGCCCGTGTTAAGATTCTACGGGGGATGGGGGGTTCGGTAATTAACCTTCCACGATGGGCGCTGCGTCGTCTCGCGTACTCCCATCAGCTCCCCGCGCGAGCGGGCCCCATTCAAAATGAATACATACATCCCAGTTACCCCGGTCGCTGCAAAGAGTTCGTCTGGTCGCCGTCCGTTTCGGCGCCGACGTTGTCTCGCGAACTCCTCATGGCCATTTTCACCTCAAGAGGAAAATCTTTCGTCCTGCGCAAGTATTTACACTCGCGCTGGCCTGACTCTCTCGAAGAGTGAGGAGATCATTGTGGTCAAACTTATTCCTATGCTGCCTGCCCTCCCTTCCTCCGCCCTCTACCCCCTCTACCCCCCCTGCCGTCAATGCGGCCGCCATTGAACTGCAGTATGAAGTGGACACAGCGCGCACTATTTGGGCTGGCCGCTCCCGCGCGCGAATCGACGCAGGCGAGGTTCAATCTGCCGCTGCCTCCATCGAGGCAGCGGCCCTCGAGGAATGGTGGGTTTCTCCGAAGGGCTTAGGCGACCCGTCCTCTTCCTCCTCCCCCTCCTCCCCCTCCTCCTCCTCCTCCTCCTCCTCCTCCTCCTCCTCCTCCTCCTCCTCCTCCTCCTCCTCGTCTCCTCGTCCTCCTCCTCCTCCTCTTCTCTTCCTCCTCTCCTCCTTCCTCCTCTCCTCCTCCTCCTCCTCCTCCTCCTCCTCCTCCCTCCTCCTCCCTCCTCCTCCTCCCTCTCTCCTCCTCCTCCTCCTCCTCCTCCTCCTCCTCCTCCTCCTCCTCCTCCTCCTCCTCCTCTCCTCCTCCTCCTTCCTCCTCCTCCTCCTCCTCCTCCTCCCTCCCTCCTCCCCCTCCCCCTCCCCCTCCTCCCTCCTCCTCCCCTCCTCCTCCTCCTCCTCCTCCTCCCTCCTCCTCCCTCCCTCCTCCCTCCTCCTCCTCCTTCCTCCTCCTCCTCCTCCTCCCTCCTCCCTCCTCCTCCTCCTCCTCCTCCTCCTCCTCCTCCTCTCCTCCTCCTCCTCCCCTCCTCCTCCTCCTCCTCCTCCTCCTCCTCCTCCTCCCTCCCCCTCTCCTCCTCCTCCTCCCCTCCTCCTCCTCCTCCTCCTCCTCCTCCTCCTCCTCCTCCTCCTCCTCCTCCTCCTCCTCCTCCTCCTCCTCCTCCTCCTCCTCCTCCTCCTCCTCCTCCTCCTCCTCCTCCTCCTCCTCCTCCTCCTCCTCCTCCTCCTCCTCCTCCTCCTCCTCCTCCTCCTCCTCCTCCTCCTCCTCCCCTCCTCCTCCTCCTCCTCCTCTCCTCCTCCTCCTCCTCCTCCTCCTCCTCCTCCTCCTCCTCACCTCCTCCTCCCTCCTCCTCCTCCTCCTCCCTCCTCCTCCTCCTCCTCCTCCTCCTCCCACTCCCACCACCACCACCACCACCACCACCACCACCACCTCCACCTCCATCTCCACCTCCACCTCCACCTCCACCTCCATCTCCTCCTCCCTCACCCTCCACCTCCTCCTCCTCGGGTCGCCTACGGCAGGAGAAGCCGTGCTCCGAGGATCCCTGCGCTCGCCAGATGTACTTGCAAGACTCCAGAGTCGCGACGGGCACGCTTTCCAATGGGCGCTCGGCTGCGCCGTAACTGGTCAGCCGCGACCGCAGGCGCGCTCTCCCGCCGGTGATCGGAGAGCGCACCTGTCCCGGCTCGGCGCCCACTCCCTCGAGGGCGAACCCCGCCGACGACCCCGCGAGAAATCGCGAGCTTCGCGCCCCACGCGTCGATGGCTCCAGCCCCGCGGAGCTTGCCAGCTGGGCCCACGCGGGGGCTTCCGCCCAATGACGGGGCGCCGCCGAATGTACTCGGCTTGTCGCGTTGCTGTTCGCGGGCGCGGGGCTTGGCACCAGACGGTTCTAGCTTGGGTCCGTCACGGCCCCCCCTCATCAGCCTGCTCTTGCGCAGTGTATCCACGGTAGGCGCTTCGCGTCAGGCGAGGACAGCGACGGGCCGCCTTGTCGGGTCTTCGGCTGCTCGCGCACGCGTTCCCCATTGTTCCTTGCCGCGGCGTTCGTTCTCAAGGTTGCCAGAGGCAACAGTGCGGGCGGTGGCGGCGCCGCGGCAGCCACGGCGCACGCGGGCCCCCCCTGGTCCAGGCCCGCCGGGGCGCGCCTCGTCACCGAGGATGGCCTCGGCGCGCCAGCTCGCTGGAGGATGCCCAGGCGTTCCCCGCTTTCCTGGGCCACGTGCCCGGGGGCCCCGTCGCGTTGTGCCTGGCCCGCGCTGTCGCTCACGGCGCTCGCCGACTACGGCCAGCGCCTCTTCGACTCTGGTCGGCCCGTCTCTCGAAGAAGAAAAAACGCTATAAACATTACATTTTGACACTCCGCGCGGACTTCTTGGCTCCACGCTGGGCCCCTCCCTGGCGGCGCCTCCGGCGCCGCCCCTGGCGCGCTCCGCGCGCCAGGGACGGGGGCCTGGCGCAGATCCAAGAGATCCGAGCGGAGCGCCAAAAGTTTATGTTGATAGCGTTTTTTCTTCTTCGAGTCTCGTGGCTCGCGTGCGCCGGTCCAGGCGTACCGCCGCCGCGGGCCGCGTGGCACAGTGCAGCTGGCCTGGGGCGCGGCGCGGGCGTGGCGCCGCCCGATTCCTGGCCTTCCTGCGGGCGGCTATGGCGCTGTCACTGCAGTTGGGCGTGGCGCGGCCTTGCTCGGGGGGGCTGCTCGTGCCATGCGGGGCCATGCTCCAGCCCAGGGGCGCCTTCGACCTCCGCTTCTGCGACGTCACGCCGGAGGTGTTGGGCAGGCGCGGCTGCCTCGAACTGCGCATCGCCGAAGATGCGGCACGTGGCCAGTCGCCGCGAGCAAGTGCGCGCGCCCGACTCGCGTGGTTCCCTACTTCGCCTCTCGGCGTGCCTCTTCGCCAGTGCTGCTTCTTCTTTTTCCGCTTCGCGGATCTTCCACGGCAGCCTGGCCAACCCCCAGCACGCATTGGTTCGCGCGGCGCACTTCGTCGGCATTCCATACCGTGGCGGCGCCACGTTGGCAGACCTTTGCGACGAACCCTACCGTCCGTCCAGCGGCGTGGCAGGTGATCGCGCCTGCGGCCGCCAGAGCATCACATCCAAAAAGCAATATCCGTCGCAGTGCTGGCTAGTCTTCCGTCGGGCATGCTGTCTGCTGATCATGCCCCGAAACTCTGCTCCACGCGCTATGGCAGCGTCTGCTGCGGAGCGCCTCTGATGGCATATTGGAGAGATCTTGGAGTAAGTTATTGGAGTCTCCTTGGGCGGTCTTCGGACAGTCTGATAGTGAGTGTACGACCCACGCCAAAATCGCGCGCAGTATGAATGTGCGTGGGTCCTAAACTTGACCTTGTTCCCTTGGTATTGGCGCCGTCTTGGAGGGTTCTCGGGTAGTTTGGCAGTATGGGGGCTCTCTTGCGACAGTTGTGGACCGTCTTGAGGGCTTCTTGAGGCGATTTGAAGTTTTTCCGAGGTGATCTGAAGCCGCAATGCATCGGAAGTCAAAAACATACATTTTGTTATATGCTTCAATACTTCTCGTTTTCTAGCGCCTCTCTAGATTCCTCCTCAGCCGTCTCTTGGAGACCTTCCAGGGCCTATTGAGGCATCTCGGAGACTTGTCCGAGCCTTTGGGGGGAGTTTTTGGAGGGGTTGGGAGGTTTTGGTAACCGTGCTGGACGCGTTCAAACTGCAGTAAAGCCTTCTTGAAGCCGAAATGGTGCCGCAAAGCACATTCAGAGGGAGCGGTTCTTTAAGGGCGCGTGATAGAGGGGGGCGGGTCGGCCGCAGAAACACTAAAGGAAGATTACCAGACGACAGATGGGTATTGTAATGGCACGGTGCTGGATTGTAAAGTTGTCGTGTGATCTTGGTGATTGGCCCGGAGGGGGTCGATTGGGAGGGTCAGTTCGTCATTGTT